AAAGAAAGAAAGAAAGAAAGAAAGAAAGAAAGAAAGAAAGAAAGAAAGAAAGAAAGAAAGAAAGAAAGAAAGAAAGAAACCCAAAACCAAGACATTTTGATTTCTTGAATTCCAAGAATTAAAATCAATATAGGGCTGGGATACAATCAACAATGAATTTTCAAGAAAACTATTTATTAATATATAGTCATGATTTAGAATAGAATAGATAGAATAACAGAGTTGGAAATGACTTTGGAGGTTTTGTATTCCTTACCCCCTGTTTAGGCAGGAACTCTACCATTCCAGACAAACGGTTGTCCAATCTCTTCTTTAAAATTTCCAGTGTTGAAGTATGTTCATCTGGAGTCAGTAATTTACTGTGCAGAGGCAGTTCCTTTGGGGATAGACAATAGTGACTGAACTAGAATTGCCGGTTTGTAGCCTTTCATTTCATTTCCCTTTGAAAATTATGAGGTAGCAAGAGAATTTACAGTAGCTTTTGCTGCTTGGGAACTCCAGTCAAGTACCATAGTCACTTATCCTCTTCCTTGGCTTACTGAAAAGCAGAAACGGAGCCTACAGCAAATTAGGTCAAGATGGTGGGAAAGATAAAAAATATATAAGCATGCTCTCAATCAGGCTTGCCATTTTAAAAAGGCAGCACAATTTTTCTGAGTTACAACCAGCCATAGAATCTATAATCACCAAAACAATAATGTCAGAGGTGGAACTTGTAGGGTCATGACTCATAGCACAACATAGCTTAACAGATGGGAGATTCTAGATCATACTTGGTCCCTCCCAGTAAATAAATTGCAGGGCCGATTTATCATTCATCAGTGTGGCCAGTCCCAGATGAAATTATTTACAATTTTTTTCCTGCTTCCCTTCTTCCTGCCTTGTGTCATGTTCCAAAGATCTAAGGTTAATTGGTTATTATCTTGCAGTTGTAATAAATTTGAAGGTCTAAGACTTGTGGTTTGGGATTTGCTTTTTCACTATTTCATTTTGGTTTAATATTTCTATTTTTATTAATAGGATATTGAGAAGTGAATTTAAGATGTGATGGTAATGTTAAATTATGTATCAGTAATTTGGAGTCTGTTGATCTGTGATGGATCTTTGGGTATATCAGTTTTAGGGTATATCAAAGAAAATAATAATGCACATTAAAAAGAAGCAACAATGCCAGATATAAAATCTTAGATTAAAGAAATATATTAATTATCAGCCTTTGAACTGGCCCTGTAGAGAGGCAGCAGAAGACTGATTGATATGCAGTGCCTTGTTGAATTTTACAGTGATATGTTGTTCAAAAAAAGATCTACTTTCTAATTTTACTATCTTTTATATACATACTATGTCTTGATTTAAATATATATATAAACCAAATAGAATTTTTAAATAATCAAGTAAAAAAATGAAAAGAAAGGAGAACCCCTAACACTCCCTCTCACTTCTGACCCCAAAAGCTTATTAGGCCCAGACTGGCCAACAGCTTGGCAGTATGATGTCTGGCCCTATCTTCAAATATTTTCATTAAAAAAAATTCATGGAAATGTGGAATTTAAGTCATTTCTCTTTCCTTCTCTTCTCCTTAAGAATGACTTTGGGTCTCATATGCCCTTTTTAGCATCCTCAAAAAAATCATAAATAATGCTCAGTGATTTGTTTGGAAGTGTACCCACCAGCTCCCACAAGTAAATAAACATATTAGTCAAAATCAGTCAAAATTCATTTTAGTGGTCTGCGGGATTTAAAATTAAGATTTTGGTGGTCCCTAAGATCCAAAAGGTTGGTGACCCCTGCTTTAGAAAGTTACAAATGAACCAGAAAAGGGCGAGCCAGTCCCCAAATATAGGAGTCACTGCAGAAAACCATTAAACCCAAATCCCATTCGCTTCCTGGAAATGATGAACCCCTATTAATTTTTAGAGATTGACTCTGTAGGGTAGTATTTCTCAACTGCTACAACTTCAAGGTGTGCAGATTTCAATTCCCGGAATTCCGAGGCATCATGCTGTCTGGGAATAATGGAAGTTGAAATCCACACACCTTAAAGTTGCCAAGTTTTTGAAATCCTGCAATAGGGAGAAGCCAAACTTGTAGGTACCAGGCCCCAAGCCATATAGAACCTTATAGGTTAAATCAACCCTTAGAATTGCACATGGAAAACTTGTTGGTTAGTGGGGTAGGGCCAAAAACACAAATGTTGTATGACTGGGACGGTGTTCGCATACCAACATGTGGATTGCTGCTTTTGGGGCCAATTGTAGATCGTCATAGGCAGCATGACATAGACTGTTTTACAGTAGTCCAATTAGGAGGTGACAAGGGCATGAGGTACTACCCTAGTTACCTCTATCTATTCTTGATCAGCAATGCTTAACATCTTAAATGTTATATTTTTATACATTAACATTTGTAAATGGATAATATAGTTCAGACCTGTCAAAGCAATCCTTGACTCTTTTCTGAGTTTAAAATGAACGAATGGGGGCTCTCACTTATGCATATGAAGGACAGAAATAATATACTCCAAATTTATCTTTAAGGCATTGTATAACTACTGTTAATTGCAATTCTGAAAAAAAAAATCCTGGAATTAAGTCAATGTCCACATGATGGCAGCAAAGCCTTGAATATTGGTCATACAATCACTATGAAAGGCCTACTACAGATTAGTTTTCTTCCTTCTGCAGAGAGCTTCCCAGATGTTGCTGTTAAGTTAAGATGTTGCATCAGTGTCAGATATTTGCTGATGGGATCTAACACCTGAGAGTAGCAGTTCCATGAAGGAGAATTACTCTATTTTTCCAGCAGTGAAACTGCAACATTTCAAAATGATGTGTGTACTCTACTGTATCAGTAAGAAAATCATGTCCTCATGCTTCAAAATTTGCACATTAAAAAAGCTGAATTCTATTTCTTAAGCCATTTTTATTAAGTCATAAAATATTATAAAATACAAAATACAAAAGCAAACAGA